GGGATTTTTAAGTGTTAATTTTATGCAGAATAAGATCCAAATTGCAAAGATTCTCATTAGAGTTTCCTGACACTCAAGAAATATTTTTTCAATTTTTTTTAAAAAAAATCTTAAATATTTCCATCCCTAGTGTGGTTTGGTTTCCAGTAAAGTCTGCCTCTACAGTTTATATCTGGGAATAGAGTTTTCTACCTATACAAAACTAAAAACAGCCCAAAATGCTCTGGAGAAACTATTCATGTTTGCACAGGCCACCATGTTAGCCATTAAATACTGAAATAAAATCTCACATGTTGTTCCAGACAAGATAGAAGAAGTGAGTGGAACAAATGGTTCATTACTTCCTGAGTATGTAAGAAGTACAGAGAGCATATATGTTAAACTGACATTTTGTACAACAAAGAACAGGAAACTGTCATTGATCTGACAATAAACATAAAATGATTTCCAGCTTGTGCTAATATGCACAGTTAAAACAGCAGAAGCAGAAAACAAGTGCTGAAAAAATACTGAATTATTCTAGCATCTTGTAAAGTACTTATCAGGACACATTTAGGTTACCATTTCCCTATCACTATATCTCAGAACAGACATCCTATTACAATGGTTTTATTCACTGGGTTTTGGGAGGAAGATATTCCATTGGTACTCTTAGAAGAGAGGAAAAGAAACAATTGGGGCCAGAGAATATTGGCCAGTTAATAATAATATTAATAATAATAATAATAGTAATAAAAATTATTTTTATCCCACCCCTCTGCAATGCAATCAGGGCAGCTTACAACATTAAAAACATCCAAACAATCATTCCCTAACCCACCCCTCCACCCCTGTAAAACAGTATTAAACTAAGCAATATTAAAAACAAGTATACAATAAAAATAAAATAAAGTAAAAATCAATGAACAAAATAAATAGCACCGCAGATTAATAGTCCAGAAGCAGTTCCAAGGAAAGGTGGCCAGGATCCTAGGGCAGGGAGATTATTCAGGGAAGGCCTATCGAAAGAGACCCGTCTTGACAGCTTTTTAAAAAGCGTCTAGAGTAGTAATAAGATGGATCTCATCTGACAGGCCATTCCATAATCTGGGAGCGACAGCAGTAAAGGACCTCTGGGAGGTCACCGACAGCCTAGTTTTAATAGGCTGTAGCAGTTTCCTTCCAGAGGACCTAAGAGTGCAGGGAGGGTCATATGGAAGGAGATGGTCCCAGAGATAAGTTGGACCCAAGCCATGTAGGGCTTTAAAGGTCAAAACCAACACCTTGTATTGTGCCCGAAAGCTAATAGGCAGCCAGGGGAGAGATTTTAGCACTGGTGTTATGTGCTCTCTTCTAGAGGTACCAGTGACCAATCTGGCTGCTATGTTTTGAACTAACTGAAGCTTCCAAGTTAGGCACAAAGGTAGCCCCATGTAGAGCGCATTACAGAAATCCAGACATGAGGTTACCAGAGCAGGTACCAGTTTCGAGATCACTAATTTCCAGGAAAGGGCACAGCTGGCATATCAGCCGAAGCTGATAA